TTCGGGTTTTTCTGGGTTTGTTCTCACTAGAGTCAGCCTCTGGCTTCACAGTCCAAGATGGCCTTTCTTTCAAGATAATGGTGGCTGCTTGCTGGTCCTTCCTCACTTCTCTAAATTAGTCCAGGCTTTTCTTCTTGGTGTCCCGGGAGTAGGTCAAAAGGAAGGAGACTTGGGCCCTGAGGTCTAGGGCTGGGAAACCCCATGGTAACATTTGTCACATTGCATGGATAAAAGCAAGTCACAGGGGCAGGGAGAAAAACTGTCTCTCCATGGAGGAAGCAAAATTTTAATATAAGGACCCATGGACAGGCAGGGAGAAGTTGTTGTACGTGTTTTCTTTATTTTTAAAAATCTTGTTTATTATTTATTTGTCTATGTGTATATGGCGCTTGTGTGCGTACACATGCCTACAGAGGCCAGAAGAGGGCATCAGATCGCTTTGAGCTGGAGGTACTGGCAGTTCTGGACCACTTGAAGTGGGTCGTCTGGTCCTCTGGAAGAGCAGCAGTGCTCCTAAATGCTGAGCCATCTCTCCAGTCATGTACATATTTTCTTAATTTTATTTCCCTTTGAGTCCATCCTGGCAGGGTGGAGGCCCTGGCTCAAGGCAGGAAGGGAGAGGTCACATTCCCTTGTCTTGCCTTGTTCCTATGCCAAAGGTTAAGAAGCCCGGCAGAGCAGAGATGCCTCAGAGGTCCAAGGAGGGTTTGTAGGCTTGCATCTCTCTGCCAGGTCAAGCGCTGCCCACACTATCGGCCTGTGGAGCTGAGAGTGACTGGGTAGATGACCACCCACACAGTGATCTCCTTTTCTTCGATTCCCCAGGGTTCGTGGACGACATCATCCAGCCATCTTCTACTCGTGCCCGGATATGCTGTGACCTGGAAGTCTTGGCCAGCAAGAAGGTCCATCGTCCTTGGAGGAAACATGCAAATATCCCATTGTGAACAGCTCAAAGGAAATGGACCAACAGTGGAACTGGCCACTCGTAGCCCACCCCTGCCTTTTATAATCATGAAAAATGGGATCGACATATCTTGGAAGTTGATTAAATTTCAGAAAGAGTTCTTGTACCTGGTGTAAAATTATTTGCTACATTAAAATCTTAGTTGGTATTTTTTGAGTAGGTATTTTATTTTTATAGTAAAAATCTCAATCAAAGCAAGAAAGCCAGAAGGGGAAAACACTCATACTCACATGCATGCTCCATCATGTGATACCGTCGGGATGGTTCTCACAGACCTCCAGCCATCGAGTCCTGCCATTGGTCTCAGAACTGCGCACTAACTAAACCACTTTATAAAGTTAGCCTGCCTTCAGTACTTTGTAGAGCAATAAAAACAGAATATAGCATACCTTTGTATCCCCCACCCCAGGAATTAATTTACCCTAATTCCCTATGACTTGTTGATGGTTACATGAATGTCTGCAATGCCAGTTTGTCTAGAAGAACAGATTCTCAGGAAGGTGTAGCATCCAGTATTGACTCCTGTGATTTCCAGACCTCGAAGGTGTTCCTGCACTTCCAAACACCTCTGTTCTGAAGATGGTCATGACTGTGAAGTGTTACTAGGACTGTATCATGTGCTTGACATCGAATTGCCAGTTGTTAATGTTGTGCACATGCATATGTGAGTGTGTGCATGCGTGTGTGTGTGTGTGTGTGTGTGTGTGTGTGTGTGTGTGTGTCTTAAGTGACTGTCATGGCTCTTGTGTGTGGCCAGAGGAAAACTTGGCAGGAATTAGTTTTCTCTTTCCACCATGTGGTTTGAGGATCTTGGTGGCAGGTCCCTTTGCCCAAGAAGTTCCTCTATTTGGATTTGCCTGGTCGTTTCCCAATGTTTAGTTTGAGGAAAGAGTAATAACAGCTCTCTTGGTGTGTTACATCAGGCGGACATGACGTAGGTTTTTCTGTTATTGGTAATCAACCATGTGGCCTCAAAACTGATTATTTTCCAGATTGTTACTGGCATGTGGGTGGGGTGTGCAGCCCTGCCTGCCGACAAGCTTCCTGTCTGTTGCTGGAGCTTGCTTAGTTCCTGAGCTGCTCGTCGGATGAGGAGACTCGAATGCTGTCTTCATTCTGTGTTTATATGTTGGAGGCAGCACTCTTCTCTGTCTGCTTTTTTCGGGGGTCAGTCTAGACCTGTCTTCTTTTGGTCTCACTGTAATTCCTTTTGATGCTCACAGGGGAAGCTCCTTCATGCTAGTCCTTCGGGCTTTGGTATCTTCTAATAATTATTGGAGAATTTCCTTATTTTCTGACACCAGGCAATGGTCTAATTTCTTCCTACATTTCCTTGTCCGGTCCCAGAGCCTATGTTTTCTCTAAGGGGCTAAAGTTAGGAGGATTGCCATTTCTGATGTCATTTTTGCTGGATGTTCCTGTGTGACCCTCCAGCAAAAAAAAAAAAAAAGGGACTGAATGTTCACATCTCTACTGAGATGTCATAGCCAGCATCAGAAAGGATTCACATAAATGTGTCTGAGACCTCCTCATTGTGTAGTGAAAATACCTAAGCAAAACAATTTTTGAAATTTTTTTATTACTTTATAAATAATACCATTCAAAATTTCCACTTTCTTCCCTCCTCCCATTTCCCTCCCACTCCCCCACTCACCCTCCTCCCTCCCCTTCCAGTCCTAAGAGAGAGCAGGGAACCCTGCCCTGTGTGAAATCCAAGGCCCTCCCCCCTCCATCCAGGCCTAGGAAGGTGTGCATCCAAACAGACTAGGATCCCAAAAAGCCAGTACACGCAGGAGAGACAAATCCTAGTGCCATTATCGTTGGCTTCTCAGTCAGCCCACATTGTCAGCCACATTCAGAGAGTCCAGTTTGATCACAAGCTCGTTCAGTCCCAGTCCAGCTGACTTTGGTGAGTTTTCATTAGCTCAGGCACTGCCTCAGCGGGTGGACCAACCCCTCGCGGTCCTGACTTCCTTGCTCATATTCTCCCTCCTGCTCTTCAACTGAACCTTGGGAGTTCAGTTCAGTGCTCTGATGTGGGTCTCTGTCTCTATCTCCATCCATTGAATATGGTGATATTCAAGACAATCATCAGTGTAACTATGGGACAAGGTTCAGGCACCCTCTCCTCTACTGCCCAAGGACCTAGCTGGGGACATCCCCATGGACACCTGGGAACCCCTCTAGAGCCAAGCCTCTTGCCAACCCTAAAATGACTCCCTTAATTAAGATATCTTCTTCCCTGTTCCCATATCTACCCTTCCTCCATCTCAACCATCCCACTCCCCCAAGTTCTCCCCAATTCTCCCCTTTTCCCTTCTCTCTCCCCCCTCTCCCCTCCCTCCCACCATGCTTCCAACTTTTGCCTGGCAATCTTGTCTTGCTTCCAAGTCTGAGGACCCAAATTCAATCCCCAGGATAGATATATGAACGCCAACAGGATAAAACTATTTTCAATAATTATTTTAGCTTCTGGTTTCAGTCCATGGTCCTGTGGCTCAGTGCAACACAGCAAAAGTGGAGACCGATCCACAATGGGAGTGGAAAGGACTGGGACCCCAACAACACTTAGGACATCACTTCATCTGTGAGGCTTCATTGCCTGCAACAGCACCAAGCCGCCAACACATAGGCCTTTGGGGGACAGTTATCTAGGTCACACTGATAGCAGGTACAAGGAAAGTGTGTGACACACAATCACCTGACTCTGAAATAATGGTGTAACAGCCAGAAGAGGCACACACCCGAGCCCTCCACTGGGAAGAACACAAATGCAATCACTGCTCAGCTCGCAGCCCACAGCTAAAGTCTCCAACTCGGGGGCAACCATAGGCACAATACTCAATCAGCAAAGTAAGGTCATCAAGGCATGGGAGACAACTTTAGAGAGCACGTAAACCAACACACGTGTCTGAGCCACTGAAGCCATGCCCGTCCTGCTCCAGACCAGGGGACCTGACCACATCGTCGGGGAAAGACAAAGAACAGGAAGAAACTTCAGCCTTACTGCTGTACAGTTGCAAGACAGTGTGCACTTAGAGCATTGAGCGGGTGAGTGGACCACGCTTGAGGTAATGGGAGCCAGGGTGGTCACCTCCTGTGCCCAGACATAAAGACAAAGTCAGGATGGCAATGACACCTAGGATTAGGAATTCGAACTTCTATAATTTATGACTTTTATTTATAGCCCCCCACCCTTACATACCAACGTTGTAAAGGTGTAACTATGAAATGTACCCCACCTCCACATGGACTGGGGACCTTGCTACAGTTGATGGCTTTGGAGAGCAAGCCCAAGGGTTCTGTTTTCCTTTGACGTAATATTATTTTTTTTTTTACTCTTTAGATTATTTTTCTCTTCCATTAGCATCGTAGTTGGGCTCTCCTCCTGTAACAGCCTATTGGTATCCATGACTTTAAAAAAAATTATCTTTTGTGTGTATGCATGTGTGTGTATCTATGTTGACACAGGTGTACATGTGTGACATGCAGTGGTCAGAAGACAATCTTGGGTGCCAGTCCTCACCTTTTTCACATCGATTTAATTTGTGCATATATATATACATATATGTATATATATACATACATACGTATATATACATATATATGTATACACACACACACACACGGAGAAAGAGAGAGAGAGATCAGAGGATGATCTGAATGACCTGAAGGCGTTTTCTCTTCAACTGTGTGGCCCCAGGGGCTGGACTCAGGCTGTCTGGAATTGCAGTAAGTGCTTTTACCCACCAGGCCATCTTGCCAATCCCAATATTATTATTCTTCATAGAGAATACTAAAATGTTTTGCGCACATGCATATATTTTGTTTCTCTATCTGTGTGGATGGTTGTGTCTGAGCTTCTATCCCTCAGCTTCTGTGAAGTGTGGTAGACGTGAGTGTGCAGACTGTGTCTCTGGTGTGTGGAGTCTCTCCTGCACATGCCCAGGAGGGATATGACTGGCTCATACTGTAGTGCTCTTTTAGTTTTCTGAGGAGCCCCATACTGTAAGAAGTAATCAAATATGACTTTTTTCTATCAAATACTATGAATATTGTGTTTAGGAATTCAAATCTTTTTATTTCTCACACTTGGTCAGACTTTTGTGCAAATGTCTTAACCTCCCCCACCCAGAAAAACCTTTATTTACACAGGGGCCCACTACTGTATTCTAGGAATTTGATGGCTTGGAGCAGTGATCCCTTCCTCCTTCATTTCCTGTGTTCCAGTTCTTTCCAGAGTAGCCAGTAGAATTAAGACTGTGAACTTGGCCTTCAGATCCCCCAACCTGGGGAAATGTGTTCCATCTCCTTATTGTGGTTGTTGAGTGCTGGGCCTCTGACACTCATCATATCTGCAAAAGAACCCAAGGATTAGAAGTCTGGGCAAAGCCAGAAGAACCGGCCCAAGGAAATTACCGTGGCAAGTAGGATTTCTCTGTGCACAGAGGTAAGAAATACTATGGGCAACAGCAAAGTATTCCTGTGGCGGTGGGGTCATCCAGGGTGTTGAGACATGCGTTTGACATGAAAACAGTGCAAAAAACTTCCATAAAGTGGTGTTGAGCACAGAATAAGTCAAGATAGGAAAATAATGTGGGTACTGATAAGTAAAAATATCCCTCAGTAGTAGGTAGCTCTGCTGATGCAATAAACATCAAGCCAAATTAAAGTCCAGGTTTTAATTTGAGCAAAGCACTCCCACGGGTGTCTCAAGAAAGAGGGGAACCACCTGGTCATTAGTTAGGAAATGATTGTTTCTTAGGAAGCATTTAAATACCTTGTGGGTATGGTCTTGAGCATCTCTGGGAGAGCTTCCATTTAGATATCCCCAGACTTTTTGGGTATATGGGTGGTGGTTCAGGCCTGGCTACTTCCTGTGGGCCTGGAACAACACAGGAACAGGGGAGTTGGGAGTCCATCGGCTTACACTCAGCAGGTGGTATGGGTGAAGAAGCAGTCAGTTAGTTGCCATCCTGGAGACCTCAGACATCTGTTCCTTGAGGAGGCAGAGAAGGCAGATTGCTAGAAGAAAAAATAGATTATTATCACGGGCCCATGACTCGGGCTATCCATGGGAAGAAGGAAGACTGCCAGAAAGAATGGAATAGAGATGTGTCCTGGTTGTAAAAAAGAGACAAGCGTCAATGAGCAAGACATGAGAACAGATACAACCTTCATTGGGGCATCTTGGAAAACCAGGTCCCAATGGCTAAATAGGTGCCCACTTGAGCCTACAGAGGTGGTACCAGCTCTGAAGCTGGTGGTACCCTGTAACATGAAGGGCCTGCTTGTTTGTGTTTCTGTCCTGCCTGCCCCCCCAGCTGTTTAGTCCCAGAGAAAAATCACACTGAGATCTCTATAAGTTATAAAGCTGATTGGCCCATTAGGTCTAGCCTCTTACTGGCTAACTCTCACATCTTGTTTAACTCATTTTTCTGATCTATGTTAGCCATGTGGCTCAGTACCTTTTTCAGTGGGGCAGCTCACATCCTGCTGCTTCGGTGATCTGGGCAGGAGTGTGAGTAATTGACTTCCTCCCCCCCAGAATTCTCCCGCTTTCCTTGCATCATTTCCACTTCCTGTCTGTTTTTCCCGCCTACACCTCCTGCCTGGCCAATCAGCATTTATTTAAAACATGATTGACAGAATACAGACAATTCTCCCGCACCAGTACCCAGGAGCTTATGGGGGATGTCACACCAAGTTGAGGAATGATGAGTTCTTCAGGAGTACCTGAGCCATCACACCTGCAGCTTCTCTGGAGGTGGGAAATGCCTCTATCCATCCTGTAAAAGTGTCAACAAGAGTTAGGAGATAAAGGGGCTTTTTATGAGTGGGCATGTGGGTGAAGTCAACCTGCCAGTTCTTGCCCAGTTGGTGTCCTCCAAGCTGGTGCAGAGGCTGGTATATCTGGATGGCCCCCTGCAGGTTGGGCTTGGCCTTCTTTTCCCAGGAATATGCATGCACCTGTAAAACAGCTGGAGTATATTTACATCTTGGTGTCATAGCAAAAGCCTATGACTTTGGGTTAAAAGGTATGGATATTTTCAGAAGACAACCAGAGGATATTTATTGAACTCTCGTTGAGGTTGAGTGAGTGAAGGAGGAGAGAACTGAATACCCCTGCAGGGCTTCCTTACCCTCTCATTGCTTTAGATAATATATTTACTGACTTCTAGAGGGAATTTAGGAGATTTCTTAGCAATGTGCCTCCAACACTAGTATCAAAGGAAGCTGATACTTTGAAATGATTGGACTTGGAAGGCGCCTGCACATTTGCATCAGTCCAGAGTCAAGTCTTGGGAAAGCACAGATCCCAAAGAGAACACCAAGGATACACTGTTAGGTGCCATTCACACTGCTCTCAGTGGGCAGTGAAAGCAAGGGCGGGGCATGGTGAAACCATCAAACTAGACCGATCCATGGGTAGAAAGAGAGGTTTATTGGAGATCTGACTGTTAAGGCTATCTCTGGGGGGGGGGGGCCAGAGAGAAGAGCAATATGGTGGAAAAGCAAGCAGATCTCATGTGACAGTCAGCAGAGTGGGAGTCTTTAAGATAGATACCCTTACCTGAGGTAGCTGAACTTTGGGGGTAGATTAAGGGAAGTTCCTGCTCTCAGACCTCTGTTTACCTAATAATAATCCTTTTCCCTGGCCAAAGTCCTTTTGTTTAGCACAATGTCACTAGCACTGCCATTTTGGGGTGCTGCATTAGACATAACCAGGGGCTACAACAGCTGGAGGCAAAGAGGATTCTGTCTGTTTGGGTGAGAGGCGGGGTTGCAGGCTAAGCTGAGTCTTAAGGTCTGCTTTCTATTCTGTGACTTTTCAAACCCAGGCAGTCTGACTGATCGTCACCACCCTCTCCACCGTCATACACACAGTAAACCTTTGTTCATACAGAAGCTCACTGCTGTATTCTTGGGATTTGATGACCCTTCTTCTCTGAGGAGTGGTGACCCATTTCACCCTTTCCCTCCCTCCTTCACTTCCTGTGTACCAGTTCCTTATAGACTGGCCAATTGAGACTGTGAGGCTGGACCCCAGGAAATGGGGAAAGATCAAGTTATCACCTGAGTCAGAATGAAAACCAATGGACTTCTTATCTCAGTGTGTTCACGCCTCTGCCCCCTGAGCACACCCTCTTTACCCAAGAGTAAAGTTTGCTTCGTCTAGACACTTTTTTGGAGTAGTGGCCTCTTTGTTTGTGGGTCTAAAGTTATTTCTAACGGTACTGCCCACTCGCTTTGGCTGCACTGGTTTATATTACCACCAGCAGTATATAATGATTAATCCTTCCTGACATTCCTGATGTTTGTCATTTGTTGTCTTAATGATAGCCATTTTGACTGGGGTGAGATAGAACAAGTGTAATTTATTTGTTATTACTTTTGTGTGTGCTTGATTTTGTTCGCTTGTGTGGTGCACGGGTGTGTGACCACGTTTGTGAGCGTGGAGGGCAGAGCTGTCTTCCTCTCTTGCTTTCCGTTTTTAAAAGAATACACTTGGAATTTTCATGGGGATTTCCCTGAATCTATAGCCACTTTTGGTAATATAACAATTTTTTAAAAAAATATTCTGCTTATCAATGATATGGGAAGTTGTGAGACTTCCTGGGGGAGACATGGGTAACTGTGGGAAACTGTCTACTCACTCCAGACAGAGACCATCAGGACAAAGCAGGGCTTCTACCAGAGTTGAGTTTGGCAAACTAGTGAGTTTGCTGGAGGTTGGGAGTATGGGGGAGGGCTTACTTACATGATCAGGGAAAACTCAAGAACACATGCATCACTGAAAAGCCCATTGATTTCAGAGGAAATGCTGGGTTCCCTATTAAGTCTGATTTTGGCTTTATGTTTGCTGCATATTCCAAAATACATAAATTCTTTCAGTTCCTATTTATTTATTGTTTGTCTATTTGTTTGTTTTTTTGAGACAGGATTCTTCTGTGTAACAGTCCTCGCTGTTCTGAAACTCACTTTGTAGATCATTCTGGCCTTGGAGTGACAGAGATCCACCTGCCTTTGCCTCCCGAGTGCTGGGATTAAGGGTGTGCGCCACCACTGCCTGGATATTTAGAGGTTTGTTTTTTTTTTTAATGAAGAAATGTTGACGTTTGTTAAGCCCTTTATGCCTTTGTTGAGATGGTCATTTATGTGTCTATTTATGTGCCGCACAAGTATCTTTATCAAACTACCCTTGCATCTCTGGATTCAAACCACCTTGTTCATGATGTATTATTCAATTCAGTTTGTAAGTTTACTACTAAGAACTTCTGTGTTTGTTTCACCAGAGAGTTTTGTTTTTGTTGTGTTTCTTTCTGTTTTTTAATTATTCATTTATCTGTCTATTTATTTATTTCTGATACAGGGTTTCTCTGTATAGCCCTGGCTCTCCTAGAACTTTCTCTGTGGTCCAGGGTGAACTTGAACTCAGAGATCACCCTGCCTCTGCCTCCCAAGTGCTGGGATTAAAGCTATGCACCACCACCACCTGCCTAAACTTCAGTCTTGATAAGGAATTTCTAGTTTTCTTTTTTACGAATTTTAAAAACAAAGTTAATTGAGTTAATAAACATGTTTAATATACCTAGAACTGTGTTTGTAATTATGCCAAATATAAATGTTTATCTATAGAGATAAGATTGGAGGAGAGTCCAATTTTCTCTTCTTTTTTTTTCTCTTCCTCTTTTATGCTTTGGTTTTTCAAGAGAGGGTTTCTCGGTGTAGCTTTGGATGTCCTAGAGTTCACTCTGTAGATCAGAGTGCACTACCACTGCCTGGTATAAATATAGGTTTCCAAAAAATCTTTCTTAATGATCATCTGAATTTTATTAGTATCTGTTGTAATGTTTTCTTTTTCATTTGGTTTTGTTAATTTGGGTCTTCATGTTTTGATTATTATGCCCAAAGGCTGATGAATTTTGAAAATTCATTTGAAAATGAATTTTGAAAATACATTTTCATTTGAAAATGTATTCTTGCAGCACTTTTAGTCTCCACTATTAATTTCTGCCATGATCTTTAATTCTCACCTACTTGGATTTTACTTCCTCCCCTAAGTTCATGAAACACAGTATTAGGTTATTTGGGATCTTCAGAATTTTTTATTTTGTAGTATGGAAAAATGTTTCATGCATACTATGCAAATGTTCTACCCATGGCTCTCCTCAGCTCCTCTTCAGTTTTATTTTCAGGTAGTTTCATTAAGTTTCCCAGGATTACCTTGCATTTGTGATCCTCCTACATCAGGCTCCTAAGTAGTTAGGATGAATTACCAGGCTTGGTTTGAACTCTGATTTTTTAAAAAATGTTAACAGTCATAATTCTAAACTTTTTTCTTAGAAATGCTATTGTTGGGACTAGCAAGATGGTTTAGTGGGTAATGGTGCTTTATGCTAAGTTGGACAATTTGATTTAGATCACTTGGTGAGAGAAGACACCATTTTGCCCTGGTTCCTTAGGCGCACCACATAGTCCACACACCCCAAACCCAAAATGGTGGTTTTCCCCCGCTCCCAAAGAAATACCTTTATCCAAATGTTTCTGTTCAGTTATATTTCCATTTTCTTATAGTGTTAAAATTGCCTTAATTTTTTCAAAGATACACTGGTCATATAAGTATAGTTTAATTTCTATATATTTTTAATAGTCTCTATTGCTGATTTGTATTCTTGCTCCACTATGATCTAATATATTATTTTACTTTTTTTCTATTTGTGAACACTTGGCCTAAAATGGGCTGCTGAGGTGTAACCACTGTTTTTGGATGGGCTATTATTTAGATATGTTAAGTACATTAAGACCCAATTTCGCTCTAGTTTTTTTCTTTTCTAGATCTGTTCATTAATCTGAGGTACTGATGTCACTTACTATCATAGCCATCTGTTTGTTCAGCAGTATCTTTGAAAATGGGTGCATAAACATTCAGTGGGTGTATATTGCAATTGTTATACCTTGATAGATTTTAATTTTTTTAAAGATTTACTTATTTTTTTTATGTACACATTATTCTGCCTGCAGGCCATAAGAAGGATTCAGATCTCATTATGGATGGTTGTGAGCCACCATGTGGTTGCTGGGAATTGAACTCAGGACCTTTGGAAGAACAGCCAGTCCTCTGAACTGCTCCAGCCCCATATATTGATAGATTTTAGAATAATTTTTATTATCTTTATTTTTTCTAGTTTGGATTAAAGTCTTCATCAGGTAAAATACAACTACTCCAGCTTGTTATCAATTCCCACTCATTTGACATTGACTTCCATTCTTTCACTTTCAGTATGTGTCTTGCTGGTAAGGTTTTATGTTTGGTTTTCTTTTTGCTAGACAACCCACTAGCACAATTTACTTTTAAGTTTTGTCTTTTTTGAATGTCTTAGAGTTTTTATTGGTGAGAGAAAACACCATGACCAAAAGTTTGAGAAGGAAAATGTTTATTTTACCTGACAGTTTGTACATCTGTCACTGCAGGAAGCCATGGCAGGAACTGTACTTATGGCTTTACTCAA